GGCAGATCTCCGCTCGCTCCTACTGTCCTCATCCTCACACCATCCACCTATTTAGGTACTGTCTGTCAATCACTTACAGTGGAATACAATAGGGACCATAACTCAAAGAAGACGATGAGGTTACTTACCTGTAACTGGAGGTTGTTCGAGATGTGTAGTCCCTATATATATTCCACTACCAGCCTTCTTTTCCCTCTGCTTTGGAACTTATCTGATTCATGGTGGAGAAGGAACTGAAGAAACGGGAGGTCCACCCCACCCTTTATCGCCTCGGTCGGGAGCACGAGGCAAACCAGGGCACATGCATGGACCAACAGAGACTACTTTCAAATTCTCGAACTCCAGGCACACGGTGCAGATGCGTAACCCACAGTGGAATACAGATAGAGACCACACATCTTGAAGAACCTCCAGTTACAGGTAAGTAACATCCTCTTTTATATTAGGTGCTGTTAGCAGCTTACTCCATTATCCTGTGGAGAGGTGCATTCTAGCCTCCTCTCTGCAGCTGTTAACCAGTTCTTGTTATTCTAATTTTGTATCTTTTTTTCTGTTCAGTGCATGTGCCCAGAGAAACTGTGGCAGGGGCATCTGAAAAACACTAAAATAAATAAATATTGCTGAGTTCTAGCACAGGGCTCCCTGTATTTATTACTCTTAGTCCTGCTGCTGCGGTGATAAACCAATTATATTTTCAACACACCAAGCTGACTGACCTAAGCTGTGCACAAATGCAGTAGCCAGACCTCTTTTCCAAGAACTGTTACTGCTTTGTCCAGAAACAGAGCGTGGACTAATGGTTAAAGCAGTGGACTGGGGGCTCAAGACTCCTTGCTTCTATTTTCAGCTCTGTCATTGACTCATTAAGATTTTGGGGACTTTTTTGTGCCAGGTTTTCCCATCTCTCCAGCGGGTATAATATATCTATCTGTACTTAACCTCACACATATGTTGTGAGGCCTAATGAAAGTTTGTAAAGTGCTTTGGGATTCTTAGATTTAAGATGCTGTAGAAAGGCCAAGTTGTTGTTGTTGTTACTCTTATCACCGTACATGGCCAAAGTTTGTAAGGTTGTGGGAGACGTTTAATTCAGATGCTTTAGGCTATTGTATAGCCCATTTTAGTCTCCTTTGGGCAATTTCCTTTTCAATGTACTCTCTCATCTAATTACCTTGGGAACTTTGTGTAGCAGACAGTATTGCCAAATCCAAGATGGCTTTTGGTAGAGACACAATGCAGTTCTGCAGCATCCCTGACCTTGATTTTATCTTAAATGATGATTTGAAAAGAAATGGTACCTGCTCATTTCACCTTGATGAGTCTGTTAGAGGAGAGTGAAATAATGTGGAGACTCAATTCTGAGTTATACTGGCTCTTCCCTTCCGAAATTGAAATGGGCTTTGGAAGCTAATACAGTATTAGATTGCTGCATTTCTACCATGCTATGTCAGGAATCGCAGGCAGCGTGGAAAGTGAGTGACCCTTCTGCTCAGCATATGCTGCCTTGTATGTTTTTATTCCCCCTGACAGAGAACATCCTATTGAAGTTTAAATGTAATTTCAGGAAGAGAAAATCTTAGCGTGTGGGATCTGTTCTGTATTAATTTTGTTTCCCTTCAGTTCTCTGACCTCAGCACAGAGGCCAGTCTATATTCCTACTGACAGTTTAATCTGAAATGTCCTGCTGTATTTGCTCATTTTTCCAGCGAGCCGTAACTGATTTGTAGTGTGGCTGGGCACGTGTGTAGCATACACGTGTGCTTGTCTCTGAAGGATTTTTTTTCCTTTTACCAGTTAAGCTCTTTCTTCACGCATTTAAAGCCTCTAACAAATGCTGACGCATTTACCTCTGGGGACTAAGAAATTTGTGACCAGGAATTTTTCTGCAAGACCTTCTGCCAGAAAGGCGAAGTTAGCTCCACGTTGATCCCCCCCCATACGTGAAACTCCAAATTTGAAGCCAGTGGCTGAGGTGGTATGTTTTGGGGTGAGAAAGGCTTGCCCTGAGAATACTGAGAACATACCTTTATCCACCCCTCACACCATGCTTCTTCCCAGAAAATAAGAGTGTAACCTCTTTGTAATTATCACTAGGGGGACAAATAATACTTTGCACTTGCAGCATGTAACACCATTTATTTGAGATCCCTCAAGCACTTTGCAAGCATTGACTCTGAGAGGAGGGCACAGTAGATAGGACTGCACCCCCTCTACAGGGAAACCGAAGCCCAGAATGGTTAATCACTTGACTTGTTCAAGACAGACAGCTAGTTAGGATGAGAGCTGAAAACGGAATCCAGGAGTCTTACTCCTGGGTTCTTTGCACTAACCATTTAGACCCATTTCCTCTCAACCAGAGGAATTCCTTAGGGATGCCCTTTGGAATAATCCTGCAGTAGCTTAACATGTAGGGGAGAGGTGGAGCGAGAAGGAAGGAGCTTTTATTTGATACCCAGAGTCCTGTATGTGCTGAGGGGCAAGTGTAAGTTATAACTGAGGGAAAGCACTATTGAAGTATGCCCATACAAATGGCTTTGATGTTAAGGACAGCTGTCTGAGAGCTGTATGGTCCTTTCTGCAACATAGCTCACCCCCCAGATCTATCTAAAGTAGTGCTGGCCTGATTTCATCACTCCCACTGACCTTGATGGGAGTAATGGGTGCTCAGCCCTCTGGCAGTTAGGGGAACAAGGCTTTCCTAATGCATTCCTAATGTAGTGCACACCTCTGCTGCTGGTGGTATGTGCAGTGCTGGCTCAAGTTACCTGTGTCCCTCCACAATGGGTATGTTGCATGAGTATGTTGTATTTGTTGGTGTCGCCATGAAACAAATAAGGATCCCATGTGAAACTGCCTGATCCCACAAGAGGTGTGCAGTCACTGCTATCCTGCCTTGCACTTTCTTTCATCGTGTTGTTGTTGTTAGCTAGCTGAAGGTCTTGCTTCTGACTTGAATTTTTACTATTCTGTCATAATATGCAGATGGCCTACTCTGGATATATAGGGTAACTGCTAGCTGTTAGCGAACAGAACACGTGCTGCTTGGCTGACTGCCTCCTTCTGCATGCAGCTTGCTTTGGCAGGCTGCCCTGGCTTATGTGGACTGTAGGTTTTGAAGATCCAGCTTTGACTAGCTGTTGAAAAGTTTCATGAGGTATTTTTAATCAATAAATTAAATAGCAAAGCTGCATTCAGACCTTTCACTCTGGGGGGTTGGGAATCGGAAGCATCATCTGGTCAGTCTCTTGTGAAAAAAGCATAGTTCAGCATGAGTGTCTATACACAGTCCCTTCAAAGCAACAAAACCATACTCACCACTCTCTTTTACAGGCCCTTGCTTCAGAAGGGATGCCTCTGACCCTTTCACTGCTGGGGTAGCTAACTAAATGTATAACCTCTGTGTAAAGGGAAATCCCATTCATTTTGTTTGGGGTGGGGGTCCTCTGTCATTACAAGGCATATGGGTGATGTAGCTTGTCCATAGAAATAATATGTATGCAGTGTTGTTGTAGCTGTGTTGGTCCCAGGATATTAGTGAGAAAAGATAGGTGAGGTAATGGTCCAGTAAAAGATATTACCTCATAGAAATAATACTAATGTTATTTATATGGACCCAGGAGGCTCAGGGAGCCATACAACAGAATAAAAACAAATCCAGAGTGATAAAAACAAAATCAAATCCCACCCTCTTCATACATACACACATGAACAAGGGTATCTGATTATACAGGGATGAAAAAACGGTAGAAGGGAAGAAGACAGACCTAGGGCCAGTGCTGGTCTTTCTAAAAACAACCTTTGAGAAAGACAAGCTTTAAAATACTTCATTAACATTTTAGAAAATCCACAAAGGCTGTGGATTTAAGCAGATAGCAAGTTCCACACTGCAGGACCTTCTGCTTGTCAAAAGCAACATTGGCAAAAGCAAGTTGCTGACTTCAGACATGAGGTTGAAGTGCAGGGCAGGTGTGTGAGCGCAGAGACTCATCAGTACCAGGTGCAGGGAACAAGTCTTGAAGGCAGCCACCATTTAGAGTTTTAAAACTGATAGGATTCTCTGGCAGTGGTGAGACCATCGCTAAAATACTCTGCTTAGTCCCGGGCAAGAAAGTGTAGTGATGGATGAGTAGGGTGGAGAATTCAGAGAGGAGCAATAAAAGGGTCGAATACTGCCCTTGTTTACAACAGTGTATCTCTACAGTGACTCCAATGAAGCCATTTTCACTAGTGTAACTGAGATGAGACTGCCTCAAAGCATTCCAGCATTCGGGGAGATTAAGGTAGGCCAGGTCTACACTAAGAAATTATGTTGACTCAGCTACGTCACTCAGGTGTGAAAAATCCACCCCCCTGAGCAATGTAGTTAAGCCGACCTAATGCCCAGTGTAAACTGCACTAGGTCAATAGAAGAATGTTTCCATTGACTTAGCTACTGCCTCTTGGAGAGGCTGATTAACTACGCCGACAGAGAAACCTCTCCTGTTGCTGTAGTGAGTGTCTAAGCTGAAGTGCTCCAGTGGCATAGCTGCTGCTGGAGCAGTTTAAGTGTAGACATGGCCTTAGATGGAAAGAATTAAATACGTGTAGCTGTTTGAAGTACGTGTAGGATGTGTAGCAAGGAGGGAGAGGATTTGTGTAAAGTGATCCAAGGGGCAGTGACAGGAATGGGATGAAATTGAGCATAGGAAGTTTGTACAACTGAGATTTATAGATGGTAAAAGAGTCTCCCAAGGAAATGGCACTCACTTTATCACTAGGATATTTAAAACTAGACTGGGCAAAGCACTTGAAAATGTAGAGAACAATTCTACACTGGTGAGAGGATGGACAGATTGGTGCCTTTTTCATTTCTAATTTCTGTGCTTCATATAGTGTCACAGATGGTTTGTATAATGCACAAAACACGTGCTTTCCTGACTCTTTTCCCTTAAGGGGTAATAGTTTGAATTTTCCTTTAACAATTCTGCTTGTCTGATAGTGTTTTTTTTCTTCTGACACAGGGGGTGCTCCCAGGTGGGAATTATCAGGGCACTGATCGAAGCAGGCATTCCAGTTGATATGATTGGAGGAACTTCCATTGGCTCATTCATGAGTGCACTGTATGCTGAAGAGCGTAGCTATAATCAAATGAGGATCAAAGCCAGGCAATGGGCAATGGTAAGAACGTAGAATATATGTTTATGTTCTTTTCCACTTTTAATATATAGGAGTTTTGACATTAGCCACAGCACACATGGCAACGCAGAAGCAGCAGTCCAGGGTCAGAATACAGCCTCTGGATATTAGGAGAGGTGAAGAAGGGTGTTTGAAATGCCTCTGATGTGTTTGTTTTACCAATAGTGAAGGATGAGAAGCTGCTAGTGCCTTATGCAAAAGTGTACACTCCTACAGAGCATGAGATGCTTTGTGGGCATGCTTCCTGTATAGGATGCTTCCTGTAGACAGAACTGGTGGCAACTGCAGTGAGGCATGTCAGCAGCTCTGTACAAAACTAATCTCCATAAATCAGGAATCTGATGTTTTGATCATCGAGCATATTTACCTATGTCTGTTGGAAAAACAGATCGCTCTTAGGGCACTTTGCTGGACTTGATCATATTTTGTAATATTACACTGCATCAGTAGGACAAATGCCTGACTCCGGGGCTGTACTGAGCTGACTTCTTGCTGTGGATCTGGCTTTTCTTTCTCTCATTGTACAGGTGGGTTTAGGGTGGATGTGTTATGGGGAAGGATCACATTAATGCATTCTGTGCAGTGAATAGACAGTACAGGAGCTTGAATTTAAAGTAGGGCTGTCAAGCGATTAAAAAAATTTAATCACAATTAAAAAAATTAATCGTGATTAATCACATTGTTAAACAATAATACAATAACATTTATTTAAATATTTTTGGATGTTTTCTACATTTTCAAATATATTGATTTCAATTATAAAACAGAATACAAAGTGTACAATGCTCACTTCATATTTATTTTTATTACAAATATTTCCGTTGTAAAAAAATAAATAGTATTTTTCAGTTCACCTAATACAAGTACTGTAGTGCAATCTCTTTATCATGAAAGTTGAATTTACAAATGTAGAATTATGTACAAAAAATAACTGCATTCAAAAATAAAACAATGTAAAACTTTAGAGCCTACAAGTCCACTCAGTCCTACTTCTTGTTCAGCCAATCGTTCAGTCAAACAAGTTTGTTTACATTTGCAGGAGATAATGCTGCCCGCTTCTTGTTCACAGTGTTACCTGAAAGTGAGAACAAAGTGTTCTCATGGCACTGTTGTAGCCGGCGGCGCAAGATATTTACATGCCAGATGCGCGAAAGATTCATATGTGCCTTCATGCTTCAACCACCATTCCAGAGGACATGCTTCCATGCTAATGACGGGTTCTGCTCGATAACAATCCAAAGCAGTGCGGACCGACGCATGTTCATTTTCATTATCTGAGTCAAATGCCACCAGCAGAAGGTTGATTTTCTTTTTTGGTGGTTCAGGTTCTGTAGTTTCCACATCGGAGTGTTGCTCTTTTAAGACTTCTGAAAGCATGCTCCACACCAGCAGACAGTTGATTTTCTTTTTTGGTGGTATGATTTCTGAAAGCAGGCTCCACACCTCATCCCTCTCAGATTTTGGAAGGCACTTCAGATTCTTAAACCTTGGGTCAAGTGCTGTAGCTATCTTTAGAAATCTCACATTGGTACCTTCTTTGCATTTTGTCAAATCTGCAGCAAAAGTGTTCTTAAAATGAACATTTGCCGAGTCATCAACTGAGACTACTATAACATGAAATATATGGCAGAATGTGGGTAAAATAGAGCCGGAGACATACAATTCTCCCCCGAGGGGTTCAGTCACAAATTTAATTAACGCATTATTTTTTTAACGAGCGTCATCAGCATGAAAGCATGTCCTCTGGAATGGCGGCTGAAGCATGAAGGGCCATATGAATGTTTAGCATATCTGGCACGTAAATACCTTGCAATGCCAGCTGCAAAAGTCCCGTGTGAACGTCTGTTCTCAATTTCTGGTGACACTGTAAATAAGAAGTGGGCAGCATTATCTCCCGTAAATGTAAACAAACTTGTTTGTCTTAGCAATTGTCTGAATGAGAGTAGGACTGAGTGGACTTGTAGGCTCTAAAGTTTTTCATTGTTTTGTTTTTGAGTGCAGTTATGTTACAAAAATAAATTTACATTTGTAAGCTTCACTTTCACGATAAAGAGATTGCACTACAGTACTTGTATGAGGTGAATTAAAAAATACTATTTCTTTTGTTTATCTTTTTACTGTGCAAATATTTGTAATAAAAATAATAATATAAAGTGAGCACTGTACACTTTGTATTCTGTGTTGTAATTGAAATCAATATATTTGAAAATGTAGAAAAACATCCAAAAATAATTAATAAATTTCAATTGGTATTCTATTGTTTAACAGTGCGATTAAAACTGTAATTAATTTGTTTGAGTTAATCGCATGAGTTAACTGCGATTAATCGACAGCCCTAATTTAAAGGAATGCCTCCCAGTCCATTTTTGAAGACAGGCTGTATGTTAATCACCCAAAGCTACCCATCAAGCAGCCAGTCTGTCACTCCAAACTTGTTATGAATTTGCCTAGTGCAGGAAGCAAAGGCAAGAGAATCCTCAAGTCCTGGAAAATCTTTTCTCCTAAGGAGACAGAGAAACCTGCACAATGATAACATTGTAACACGCAAGGCCCTAGGCTGCCAGAGAGGGACTGTTAAGTTTCCACTACCATAGTGGTAGGTCGGATCTGTGTGAGTTCCTGAGGACTGCAGGGCTGAAATAGACACCCGTTACTTCTACATGTACACCAGCCCTACTCTCAGGGTACGTCTATACTTACCTCCGGGTCCGGCGGTAAGCAATTGATCTTCTGGGATCGATTTATCGTGTCTTGTCTAGACGCGATAAATCGATCCCGGATCAATCCCGGAAGTGCTCGCCGTCGACCCCGGTACTCCTGCTCCGCGAGAGGAGTACGCGGAGTCAACGGGGGAGCCTGCCTGCCGCGTGTGGACCCGCGGTAAGTTCGAACTAAGATAGTTCGACTTCAGCTACGTGAATAACGTAGCTGAAGTTGCGTATCTTAGTTCGAAGTGGGGGGTTAGTGTGGACCAGCCCTATGTGTGAATGTACATGTTTGCACAAGTGTTAGCTGGTGTTTATCATTGTTTGTCTTTTTATGTGCTGGAGTCTGTTTTCTTTCCAAGTCTGACCATATAACTTTCTCTCTTTCACTTTCACATGCTGTCATCTTTTGAGTAGAAGTGATTGACTGAGGTAATTCTTCTCTAAACTAACTAAGAACCAAATGTCTGATGTAAGATGTAGCCCCAGTGTTCCAGAGGTCAGGTACTGCATTAGGGAGGAAAATGTTAATTATTTTTTTAAATATACGAAACTCTGGGTTTTTTAGCTACACTTAGCTGTGTGCTGACTGTTTAAATAACAATTTATAATTTGTTTGGGGAATTAAAAACACCAAAAAACACCCACAAAACTGCCGTACCACCAAGCAGTGCTGGTTATAGATGACTGGGATCTTCCAATTATAAAGTGATTTAATGTATTTATTTTATTTCTAGTTTTCATATAAAAATTGTTTCCAATTTGTTTTTTCTAATGAAAGGAAAGTGACCTGATGAAGTCGAGGGGGGAGGGATAGCTCAGTGATTTGAGCATTGGCCTGCTAAACCCAGGGTTGTGAGTTCAATCCTTGAGGGGGCCATTTAGGGATTTTTAGGAGGGAGGGATAGCTCAATGATTTGAGCATTGGCCTGCTAAACCCAGGGTTGTGAGTTCAGTCTTTGAGGGGGCCACTTAGGGATCTGGGGCAAAATCAGTACTTGGTCCTGCTAGTGAAGGCGGGGGGCTGGACTTGATGACCTTTCAGGGTCCCTTCCAGTTCTATAAGATAGGTATATCTCCATATATTGGACTGAGATATTGAAGTTTCCAAGCTGGATTGAAACTAACAGTCCTCTTATATCTTGTGAGACTTATAGTGGGAGACAGAGAAATCTGCAACTGGCATCTATTCTAACATTGCCTTTTGCAGGTGGCTTCTCCAGCTGTAGTCAGCTATGGGTTTGGCTACTTTCCCACAGCTATAGCTTATTATGGTTCCCCCCACCCACCCAGTTACACTTCTAAAATTGGATGGACTGACAATCATTAATTTAAATAAACCCCTACATTGTGGGTTCCGACCTTTACCAAATACACACACACAGTCACTTCAAGGGGAGTGTCCATATAACAAAGCCCACAAACTTCCCCACATTTTCTGCTTGGTTTTACTTCCATAGCAATCTCAGGTCCTCCCTTCCATCCCACTCTCTCTTTAAGTTCACTTGTTCCCTGCCCTCCCAACTCTAACTCTGCACCCATTTCCCAACATGCCATGATCACTGCAGCAGTCTTGCCTTCGCAGCACCATCACTAGAGGGCAGGGGTGTTATTCTGGGACCCTATGGAGGGATTTAAGAGAGGTTATGAAGGTTTTGTGGATTAAAAAAGCTTTCAGTAACTTCCTGTAACTGGATTAAAACAGCTTTAAGTAACTTCCTGTAACTCTTACATCTCTGCAGCCTCTTGGAATGTTAGCTCAAGCTTGGTGTCTTTAGAAAGCAGAGATTCTGAGCTTCTTGGTGATTACAGGTGCTGGATCACTAGATTCAGATGGCTGCAGAGGCCTCACAATTAAAATGGCACTCAGTAACTTTGTAGAAATAAACTTAATTTTAGTAAAAATAGATCAGCCTTCCCACACCTCTTAAAGGGTTGGGAGGGAGCATGCTAATCTCCTCCAAGGCACACAAGTCTAACCAGGGCCGGCTCTAATTTTTTTGCCACCCCAAGCAAAAAAAAAGAGCGCTGCCCTGCCATAACACCCCCCCCGCGAGCGCCGCGCCACCCCACCGAACCCACACCCCCCCCCCCCCCCCCGAGCACCGCCCGGCTGAAACAAAAACAACAACAACAAAAACCTCGACCGCTGCCTCGCCGAACCAAAAAAACCCCAAACCCCCGAGCGCCCCCCGCCACCCCAAGATTGGCCGCCCCTTACAAGGTGCCGCCCCAAGCACGTGCTTGGTCGGCTGGTGCCTGGAGCCGGCCCTGAGT